GCTAAATAGATAAAACAGCATGACAGAAGTAGTGAGAATGATGTGGATAAAAAATAAGTCGACCTCATAAACAAAAGGCTGAAACTGATGTCTACCTTTGACAATTACTCCAGTTCCATTTTCAGCAGGGAAGTTACCAACACCTGAAGCGACACTAGCAGTGAACAATTCAGAAAAGTTTGCAGAGGAGCTGTCTACCGGGCCTGTAGTAAATTAGAACAACGTGGCAAGCAGGAACAGACGCGAGATCCTATTCCTACGACACTATGTTAAATTATGTCTTCCTTTCCATGAATCGGCTTTTAGGGCCAGTGTCCTTGTGGGCTAGCTGTGGACACTCACGATGGGCAGCACATTCACCCATCCCCAAACCCGGTTCCCAAGAAGGACTAAACTGCCAAGCAGGTTAGTGACTTTGTGGTCAAGTACATTGTCAGTTGCATGGAACTCTTATAGCTGACAGGGTTGGTTCTTAAGTGATTTGCTTACAGCACTGATTACGTTGTGGTGGTTGACATGGAAGGTTGATCAAGTGAAGCGCCCAGGAAGACGTGCATGAGAGAGGAGCGGCTATGTAAAGTGTTGGTTTTCAAATCTTCATATTGTTAAGGAGACATCGTAGATCTGCACCAGGGAGGCTCGCTTGCAGGCCATGTTAGCAGCCCAAGTCCTACTGCATGCGAAATAAATATAAACTGTTTGGGCATTGTATTTCCACTGGTCTTAAAGGAAGTCCCGGAGGGCAGCACAAACATCATCGCCGCCTTCCCATTAAAATCAGCCAAACACATCACTCGAAAATGGTATTTGTTCGACAAGGTGCTTGTTGCAATGACAATTCAACATTTCGCGGCCTTCTGATGGTGCATTAGACAGTGAGGGGCATGGCTCTCACCTGGAACAGCCCAGACCAATCAGGAGAAGCAGTTGTGTGCGATGCCATGCGCTCTACAATAGGATTGGCTGAGGAGTTGGTGCCACCGCTTGTCGCATATTGCGACGACTGATCTTTAGTACGTGTAAATATTAGTAGAGATGAAATGAATTAAAGCAATTTGGGATCCTCAATCGTATTTGCTTTTGATACGCGAAAGTAAGCCGTCGGAAGTTAAAGGGCTCCCAGGAAAAGTGTAACTAAGGAGTTGCCGCAAATCAACCAAGTGAGATCCAGTTATCCATTTGAAAACCTGTTTTTGGTCAAAGTAAGAATTATTTTCCGCAAACTAATGCTAACCAGTGTAAATCAAATAATCAACCGTTTAGTGCGAAGTCAATTAAGGATCGTTGTCAGTAGCCCTTTTCAAGTTTATTGCTGCCACTAGCGCA